TATTTGAAGGCAATGTTGTAAAAGAGTCTATGACCCCGCTTGCCCACTGACTAAATTAATATTAGACTACTTCTGTGAATCATTATTCAATAGATTCTTCGTGTGTCATGCAGAGAAGTACTCAAAGAGCTTGAGTACCTAATCTTTAATTTGATGACATGAGTATTTTACTGTTTATATTCATCCCATGAACCCCCATAATATTCAAAATGCAAATAATAAAGGAAATAAAAAGAAAAATCATATACAATTTACATTCTTTTCTAATAAAATAAATATCATGTGAAAGATCCTCGTAATAAACTATGACTCAGTTCTTAAAATAAACTGTTGTCATAGTTCATCTACAAAAGTAATCATATTCTACATCTACACTTGTACTGATTCTAGAAGTTCATTTTCCCTTGTCAATATAACTGTGATATGCAATTCTGCTTTCTCATTTCAATAAAAACTACTTAACAGTATATTTACATAACTATATATAATCTTATATACATTCTCTTATTAATGTATATAATTATATAACATTGCAGTAATATATTGTATAAATATATATCTAATGTATAACATATACTATGATTTTTATTTGGTCTTTTCGTAGTGTACTTTCTATTTAAGTGAGTTTCTAGTATTAAACTAGAATGATCAATCACCTGCATTAAAAAAGACATTTAATTATAAAGTTGTAGTAAAATATTTAAAACATTCTACTGCACATGCTGTTCTGGGAATAGTAAATTTGTATCGAGAGAAAATAATTAAGAATTTTAATAGAAATATTCTATTATATAATTAAAATATACATGGTGTTATAACAATGAGGTTCTGCACTAAATTGTTTATAGCTGAAGCATAAAGAATGGAATATTGATTTTAATTTAAAAATACTCTCACAACTTACAGAATACATGAAGGAAATTCTGACTTAAGAGCATCGTTTCTTAAGAAAATATCATATTCTGTTACTCTATTTTATTCAAAATCTTAAAATCCCAGAACAGCATTATTCACTTTCAACTGAAATGTTGATGACATATTTTGAAACCAGAAAAAAAATCATCTTTATATCTTATTTAGACAGTGAATTATTTCCATAAAATTAGTTCTGACTTTTTATATCATGTATAGAAAATGTTTTATAATGTTTATTTAGATTCATTAGATATATGCTAAGATAGAGAGTTAGAGAGAGAAAGAGAAACTAGTGAAGGATATTAATTGTTTTGAGGAATACATGTTAGAGAAATGTTTTTCACATGTAAGGCCAGTATTTATTCTATCAGAAGTTTTTGCATTTATCAAAAACATGTTTTACTTTTAATGCCTTAATTACTTTTAAGTCCAAAACTAATTCTCCTTGAAGCTTCACAGCAATTTACTAAAACTTGCTGATATTATTTTTATTAATTTCTCAATAAAAATTTGAATTAACAATTAGAACCATTTTATTATTCGTTTCTTTTCATAGAAAATGACTAGTTAGTGGTGATCGTCATTTTTTAAATGTAAATTATTTATTTACAGCATTTAAATTTTATTTTGGTACTGAAAGATGTCTCATTAAGCAAGCAATATTTTTATCTCTTTTATCTCTCAGTTACTTTAGTCCTGCCTCAATTCATTTCTGTTGCATCAAAAATTTAAAATGGGCAATTATTGACTAATTTCATTCCAAAATTGTTAATTAAAAAACTTTTTTTTTTCAAAAGACTTTAAGAAATATAATTAATATTTATAATCAAAATCAATTAATTTGCACAATAATATTGACTAATACAACTTGCCATGTAATTATTTTAATTCAAAACACAAATACTATAGTTAATGGCTTATTATCAAAAAACAGTTCTACACTGAATTTTCTCAATTTTCAGAGCAAAATGGTAACTACTGAAACACTTGATGTAATTACAAATTTCTATTTCAATAGATCATGATTTAATTATCTATATATTTTCTTCTGACTATTGTAGAACATAATAATTCTTATTTGATAAAGGTGTTTAATTTTTGTAGTATTACATAGGATAATTGTTTGAAATTATCTTGCTTAAATAAGAATACATCTCACACAACAAATAATGTAAATAATCTTTTTATGAGTAAACTGGCATTACTTGTGAAGAACTGGAGAAAAAACAGACATGTTTAAAGTTAGAAGAGTACAGCACTACAAGATTTCGTAAGTGATGTATCATGTAAAGGAGATATTGGTAGAAATTGTTCATTTCAAGATATTATTTACTTTTAATTTATGCTTTAGCAATACTGCTGTCCCAAAAAAAATATATTTAAGTTGTAAGGCCGTAAATATCCTTGTTTTCACCCACCACCAATGTTCACAATCTTTCCTTCCAGTTTAGCTCCTCACAATTCATCTTAAAATTTCACTATACGATCTTTCCTATTTTTTTTCCCAAATAATGAACTATAGTGTATTCACCAGAAAATACAATTTGAGACTGGAAAGTGTTTCTGTTTTATAGTTTGGTTTTGTTAAAAGATACCTATTTCAACAATGTTAATACAATATTATATTTTACACAATCATTATAAATGCAAATTATTTCTGATTCTAATTAGTCAATTAATCTAATAAGCATATGAACCATATAATAAAATATTAATTAAGTTGTTTTCTCTTCTATTATTAGAGGCAAGCATTTAAAAAATGAAGTGATAATATCATAAATTAATATTTTGTGATCATAGAGCAGATATGAAATAATTTGTATCCCTTAAAGAGGTCAATTTTATTAAGAGTAATAAAAATGAATACTTTACAATGAAATAACAAAATATAATATGGGCTAGTGACCAATTTCTAATTCTTTCTATAGTATTATTTTTAGTTCTCATTTTTAAGAGAACATTTAGAATAATTTTAATGTTTCCTTTGCATTACACACCAAGTAGGCCAGATATTTCTGAAACAAAATTAAAAATATTAATAAAAAGTTTAGGCCTCTTGTATTTGAGCTGAAGATGTACCATAATATAACAAACAAACCATATAAATTACCCAAGAAGCAAAGAAAGCTAAATTCGTCTCCAAAATAATTTTGTAAATAATTTAATGTTTAAAATTGTATAGATATCAGGATAGTTTGTTGTTGTTTAAGTCACATTGATGAACAGAAAAATAAAAACCAAATTCATTTGAGTTGAATAATGTCTGTAAGTATTCTCTTTCTTTTTTCTTTCTTCACATGAACATTGAATGTACTCTTTTTATCGTTTTCACTTGTTTATTTAAAATAAATTTTTTTTTTATTATGTTGCCTAAATTAACAGTGTGAAGTGGACCTTGAAAATATGTTTGTACAGTGAGATTATATAATTTGTAATTTCTTGGAAATTACACAATCAACAACACTATATATCATTCAAGTTACGGTTTTTGCTTCTTCAATTTCATGGTGTTAATATAAAAATCTATTTCTCCATAAAAGTTTTAAAATTACACATAGAAATTTAAAACAGACTTTACAAAAAATATGCTTTTAGTTTCATTAAAAAGAATATATCAGTGAATCCTTGGAAGTATGGAGGAACCACTTTTTCCCCCTCTCAACTTCTTTTTAGCATGAGAAGAAACATTTCATTATAATGAATATATTAATGACTCATGTTTATTTTTTTCCAGAAAACATTACAATGAAACCTTTCATTGTTCTATAACACAAAACAAAGGAAGTGGCAATGGGAAATACATTTGAATGAAATTTATTGCTCATTATGTGATGATCATTGTTTCTGCAATCCTAAAATGAAAATTGTTGAAATACTATAGCCCTTCAAATTCCACTTCAAAGATTAAAATTGATGACTTACAGAATCTTGAAATGAATTAAAATAAAACTCCTCGTAGTTTCATTTTTGCCAGCAACAAAAGGAGAAAATGATTGAAGTTTTTCATAACTTGATACATGACTGATATTATTAACTAGTTAAAATGATTTAATCTTTGTAACTACTGCTATTTACTTTCTGAATTTTTCTATTTACAAGATAAACAGGGAAACACATTCTTCTAAAACATTAAATATATATGGTTTTTAGTTTCGCAGGCTTCAGGTCTATGAGTACCTTTCTTCCACCTGACATGATGTTGTGAATTAAGACAAAATCTGAAAATGTCATAAATATTACCACTAACAACAAAAGAAAAAAAATTAAAAAATTGAAACTTTTTTCTGCTTAATGCTCACTAGAAACTTGTTTACATCTTGAGCTCAGTATAGACCATGTTACTTCCAGAGAATTCTGAACGACTGATATATACTATTATATTCTTAGGCATTTGAGTTATGTATTTTTTAAAAAAAAGAAAAACCCTTGAAATAGGTAATTGAAGAAGTCTTTCTAAGTTTCATTTTATAACTATGTATATCCATTTCTTTTAGCATTTAATATAATTTTTTAACCACTTTCATGTCTGCTACAATAGATCACTGAAAGCTGAAGACCCTTGCATTGAAAGTAATTTCCTGAAAGATACAAAATTTAAGGCTATGCTCATTATTTAGGTGTGATAAAAAATTTCAATCAATGGAATAATTCATATAATGAAAATTCTGCAATACGGATTGAATCAAAACATCTTGGAGTAATAATGGAACAAAATTAAGGAGGAATTGAGTGAAAACAAAATATTTGGTAAAGTCAATGAATCCAGTAAGGAAAATCAATAGCAGACAAAAGACTGCTCTCTTAAATATTCTCAAAACACAATGTCTAACATTCATATATTAAATGATGATGATGTTTACAAACCATTCGTTTTCCTGAAATATTAAAGGAAAATTTCAAATTTATTAACACTTTTACAGAGAAAAACTATATATATATTTTCAAATATGAAAACTAGCTTTATATTTATTTGTCACATAGTATTTTGATTTTCAATTTTAGATGGAAGGAACAAATTTTTAACTGTTACAAGATATAATTCCTATTCTCATTAATGTGCATGCCTTATTTTCTTGCACTTTCTGTAAATGTACTGTAACATATTTATTAATTTCACGTATTTCAAATGTTCTGTTGTTATTTTAATTATTATTACTGCAGCACATTTCCAGCCCCAAATATAAAGTTCTTGATGCATTCCCATTTTTCCTGACCTAAAATAGAAACATCAGCCTTTTCTAATTTATTGTAGAAATATATCAGGAGAGGAGCAAATAATGGATAGTAGTATCCAGTTTGCTAAATGTCTGTCTTGGATGACAGAGTGCTCAAAATTAACTGATCAGAACTCAGTTGTGATATAAGAATTTACATTTGCACTGTTTTGCTCCACTAATGAAGTCTGTATCATTGAGTTAGAAGGCAAAAGAGAATTGCAAATTCTAATCTACTTGTCATCTTCTTTGGTCGTCGCTTGAATGGTGGACGGCAACCACTAAGATTTAACAAGAACCTACGGTTGAGAGGCTGAACTTGATAACACTAAAGAAGACCACCAGACCAGCCATCACTTTAATTTTTAAAACACAGTTCATTTAAAGAGTTTTGCAACCAAGGCCTCCATGAAAAAACTATTGATGAAGATGAAATAACACCACAGCCTCACAGTTGCATTAAAAATAGCAAGTTACTTTCTTTGCACACATTGTTAATGAAAATATAATATTTTTATCACATTGTCAGATCACAATAAAACAAGAAAAATAATAACTGTGACAAGTATGAAATAAATATAAAACAAGAAAGTTATACTATAGAAACAATAGTAACATTCCACAATACAAATTCAAACACAGAATATTACAAAGCACTAAAGAAGAATAAATATGAAGAAAATGAAAACTTTTCAGTTATCCAAAATTAAAGTTATTGGCACTTTTTGGCAGCAGTTCAAAATGTGTAATTTTGAAAGAGTATAAAGTATTGCAAAATGTTGAATAATTAGAAAAACACAAAACACTATAATATTATGAAATAATATTTCACATAAACATTTTAATAGGAGATCACACGAAAGGTCTGAAGAAAATGAGTAAAGAATCTGTAAGTAAAAACGACTGAAACTTAAAAAAGTTAAATTTACAGTTATTTGTGTATTTCTAGAGCAATGGTAACAAGATTATTGTTATATACCATTAAGTGCAGTAAAAAAATACTGACCCTTAAAACATTGGAAATAACATGTATATTTTAATGTAAAAAATATCAATTAAACTTGTCAAACAGTTCATGCATGACAGTTCATTCGATCTTTCATTCATCCATTCAATTTTTAAGAAATCAACTCAAGGAGCACTGTAAAAAGAAAGGTAATTGGCCACTGTACTACACAAGAGCAGCTTGCTATTATTAATTCATTTTTAAAAAAACACATCACTGTTTTCCAAAGCACTTTTAACTTCTTCAGCTGGATGTTGTGGTGACAGTGTTGTTGGTCGTGATGGGCCGTGTTTCAGGTACTAGGTGTGGTGTTCTGCTGCTGATGGGTGGAAGGATAGGACTTGGGGGCCAAGGATTGGGCACAGATCGTGAATGGGGAATAATAAGCTGTGTCCCAGTAGCACCCAACAAGAGGGGATGAGGTGTGCTGCTAGTTGTTGATACAACAGATGAGGTGATAGGTAAAGGAGTAACTGGCGGTGGCAACATCATTGCTGCTGACTCAGGATGAAGGAAGTTCCGTCTCTGGTCAGCTCGTTCTGCATGTTGCTGTAAACATCGTGTAATCACATCAGGGAGTGTTTCCAATTGCTCTTGCACTGCAGTTAATTTGTCTTCTAAACTTGAAAGCCGCTCTTCAAGCGTGTCCTGTCGACTACTCATATCTGACACTATTTCATACACAGTGTTTTGAGTCTAAAAAAAAAGAAAAGAAGAGAAAGTTCATTCAAAAAAAGGTATTGAGACAAATATAAACATAAACTTTCCATGTCAACCTCACCATAATAACCACAATTACAAAATTTGTTCAATAAACAGTTTCTATAAAAGATATTAGGTTGGGCCTTGAATGGTCTCACCTTTGCCATGTCAGTTATAGTGTTTGCGTTGTCCATCAACTTTCGTTGGTCCATTTTAACTTTTCGCAAGCTGTTGTAAAAAAACAATATTAGAATGCAATTGTTTATTTGAGAATGTTATTAATATGGTAAATTTTGCCAATTGATTTTTCTGATATTTTTGATCAATGAACAGAGCCTTACTACACTTAATGCACATTAACTTAAAAAATCAAAGAAACTTTTGTCAAGGTTAATTTATTTCTGGTATCTTGTTTTGAACATGTTTATTGCCTCTCTGAAGTGAATATGTACAAATTACTTACGCATAGATGGCAAGGAGAAACTTCCGCTGATGTGTGCGCACTCTTCCTGGATTCACACGTTTCACAAGTCGTGTGTGCTTATATATGAGCCATGTCTCACGTAAAACATTTGCTGCAGCATTCTTCAACTGCAAATACATAGAATATGATCCTTTTTCTTTAAACAGCATTAATTTTATTAATTAGTAAAATTTAATTAATGTTATAAGATTTAAGTATGTATATCTGATGAATAAAATTATATTATTTTCTAGTCTCAGAAGAAATGTATTCATATGTGAAAATGTTTTATGGTAAGATATCATTACCCGCTTTGTAAGCTGTGTATCCATCATGAAGTTGTGCACATGCTTTTCAGCCCGTGTAAGTTCAAGCTTACGTGAGACAACAGCCACCAGGAGAGCTGTACAACCAGCTCCCTATAAAACAAACAAAAGGCAATATTTAATAAATAAATGCTCTAGAAATAAAGTCTGACACTAACATAAAAAACTAGTGCATAGGCAAGCTTCTCTAAACAGTTATATATGCTTAATCGTTTTCAATTAGTTTTAATTCCTGTATTTACCTGAAAAATTAACTCTCTTAAAATTGTGAAGATAAAGTGAAAGATTTTGCAAAAGTGAGAGGAATTAATTTATATGTAAAGAAGTGAAGACTGAATTAAAAAAGAGAGTTTTAAATGAAGTGCAAAGATATATTGTGATGTTAAATATTTTCTATCAATTGAAGTAATGTTGCGTGAAATGCGAGCACCTAGTAATTCATGTAATAAAAATGTTCATCAGAAAAACAGCACCTTATTTACCAAAGGAAAATTTAGAACAGGTAAGTATCAATGGTCCCAAATTCAAAGAGCAACAATTTACACTACATGAATATGGTTTTCTCAGCTGGTAGTCCATGACCCAGTGGAAATAATTCTTCCAAACGTTTTGTCTGCTGTAACCGCAAACATCCTCAGTGATAGTGAGGAAATTTGGGAAGCGACCTCTTAATTGGCTTCTTGCTACTTTGCCTGTAAATGCACCACTGGCAACAATGACAATATGTGCTGCAGTTGCAGACAAAACATTCTCGAGTACTATTTCTACTCCACTTGCTGGAGTTTCACTCCCCTTCTATCAGCCTGGAAAACAATATTCATATTGATACCAGCCTTAAAAGCCTACATTGCTTCATAATTTAAACTATGTTATTTTGTTTATAACTAAATTCAATTAAGTCTTCAAATGGTCTAATGCTGTGATATTAAAAGTCAGTTTCTAGTTTCAAAAACTGTTAGCATTTTAAACCAAATAAAAGGCGAAGTTCCAAGTTTCCAGTTTAAATAATTATATTTCTGATTTGAAATGTATTAATTTCTTAAATAATATATTTGAACTTATATCTGATGCTAATTGATAAGACATGTCTTAAGTATTGACATAACATAATGCTCATGATACTTTCATTTGATGTATTTCCATAAGAATTAAGGCTAATGAAATAATTTTTGGAGAAAAATTTCTCACTTTCATAACTTATTAGGAAGATTAAGATTATATAAAGGGGATTTACAATATTTTTTTATATTTGGCTTCCAGAAATTCATTATTTATTGTATACATAACGTTGATGTTTTCTCTACAGTTCACAGTCAATAAATATTCAGAAAGAGGCAGTTTCTCTTAATTCCACAATTACAATTACTTACACAATTCAAATAATATAACAAACATAGAATTTTAATGACATACAATTTTTGTACATTTAACTATAAATCATTTCAATTTCAGTTCTTTACAAGAATAAGAATACTCTCAGAATAAGCACCATTCAATAAATTAAAAACATAACTAATACAAATTTTCAAATACATTGTGCACTCCCGTCTATAAGCAATGTGAATCTTCATATTGTTGAAAATAGAGACCTAAAAAATTCTTATTCTTGTTCCATCCCTATCATATAAACACATAAAGCATTGTGACTGTTTACACTACACATAAAAAACAAATAGTTTACAGAATATTGGGCAGTGTAGTAGCTAAAGGGGTTTTAATAGTTGCAATATACTAACGGTTATTTGTAAGTTCAATAAAATCAAATCAAATAAAAAATCAAGAATGAACTCCTCCCAGTTTCTGCTGTTTAATTACAGTGTAGTTAGGATATTAAACATCAACTTGTAAATGTGATTAAGAATTACATAAAACCCTTAAACTGTACTAACATATTTTTTGTATTTAATATTGTACTTCGTAAACTTACAGATTTTACTGATTTTCCATTGACAAATAAATAAATATAAGTTGTCTCCAATTATTTAATTCTTAAATGTCAGTTTGAAGTCTTGAAAAACTATTTCTTCTGAAATCTGATTTTTATTCTGAATAATATAATTGTGTATAATGAAAAATTCCATTCTATGCATGTTTGAATGTAAAATTAAAATAATACATTTTGGGACTTATTAATAATATTTATAATAAAAGAAAATGTTTAATTATGTTTCTTTATTCCTTTTTTTGTCAAGCCATAAGTACACATCCAAGCAATTAGTGTTGTTTCTGAAAATGAGAAACTCAAGTGCTTGTGAGGTTTAATATTTTATCGTGATTCATTCTTGAGAAAGTATCAACATATTGATCAAGGAATATTAATCTTTAAAGAAACATGTTATTGCATCATATTAACAATTATAAAAGCTGTTCAGTATTGAATGACTTTGATAGAACATTTAATGTAAGAAAATATCAATGCATCTTTAAATACCCAGAGAAAGAACAAATTATTTTTGACGTGAAATTCTACTGGCTTACCCCTGCTGACTTAATTCTTCTCTTCACTGGGAATATACTATCTTGCATCTGAAACTTGTGTGCATCATAAACTTTGCTCCTTATCAAGTGTCCCAAATAATAAATTTCTGCTTGGTTACATGAAGTCATTAATAATTTCATTAAATCAACAGTACACAAAATTTTTAAAAAATGTTTACCCAAGGTGTTTTTGGAGAAAAAGATTTTTCTTGATATTCATTGATACCTTCTGAATGCCATTTCCCCACTTACTAGATAAATTATCTCTGCTTTCACTTACCATTACACCCGTAGTTACAGCAATGCCGCGACCGCAGTAAGTGTTAGGCACGATATCACCAAAGCCCACGCTCAGGAATGTGATGGCAATAAGCCACATTGCATTAAGCAGGTTGGCGTGCTCTTCGTCATGAAACCTGGTGGTGGGAGAAGGGCAAGTCCTCTATGTACCTGTTACCCCCCTGTTCACTCTCCACTGGAACTTGGATGATACCTCGGTGAGAACGGCTCGACTCTGACTGTTCCTCAATACTACTGGCGCCGTATTTCCTCAAATGTACATTATGACTGTGTCAGCCTGCAGTTCCTTTCTCTTGAGGACCATTTGGTGTATGCTTGGTGTAATGAACTTGTATCTTGCAGTGAAGGAAGCTTTTGCTCTTTCCAAAAATAATTACAGAAGATGTGCATTTTACTCTAAAAGTGTTCCTTAAAAGGATATAATGTCATAAAATTATTATTCTCACAAGTATCCTATTGCAAGAATGAGTGAGAATCATTTCCTTTCGCAATGTGCTTACAACACACAGTAAGTGCGATGAGGACCAAGAAGTGAAACAACAGACACAGGATCACACACAGGGAAACTGAACACTTACCATCATCCCAGTGAACACAGCAATGCCGCGACCACAGTATGTATTAGGCACAATATCACCAAAGCCAACACTCAGGAAAGTTATGGCTATCAGCCACAAGGCGTTTAGCAGGTTTGCATGTTCTTCATCATTCAACCTGGGGGTGAAATCAAAGCAAATCTTCATCTTTCCCCCCCTTCCCCAGGTCTCCATTGGTGAAGAGTGATACCTCGGTGAAAGTGTTGATTGCAGATGGTTTTCAGTTTTGCCATCAAACAAATACAATAGGAACATATGGAAGAAGACCAAGAGAAATGACTGATACTCATTGAATTGACAGTACATCATTTTGAGAGATCAACAAGATGAATCTGAACCCTAAAATACAGACAAAATAAGTTTAATACATTGAATCCAAAAAGTGAAGTCAATTATTTGATTTGTACTTGATGCCTACCTAGTGATTCACAGTGTACAAATTGTTACAAATCTGAGCATCCAACATGTTTCTAAAGACCACTTCTTTGTCAAATCTTGTGTAAGGAGAATAGAAGGAGAAAAAGAAGAAGAAGAAGAAGAGGACATATCCTACAGAAAAGTTTTTAACATATTCAATTAAATTTTAATAAAACTCATGTTGTCTTGATAATTTTAATTATCAGTTGTTTTCAAACTCTTAATATTGATATTTTCTATTAAGTAAAGAAAATAACAAGCAGTATCTCCCTATTTGTTGAACACATTTACTATTCAGAGAGAATAGATGAAGTTGGAGAGAATTGAAAGGAATGAAAATGAAGAAATTTAATATTTATTTTATGTATAAAAATGAAAAGAGGTGATGGAAATGATAGAATTTTATGAAACTGAGAAAGAAGATGAGAATTGAGTTGCATTATGAAATGTTGTAGCCTCTGAACAACAGAATTTGGAATAACAAGTTTTTAAATATTAATGGTTTTTATTTTCTATTATGAAAAATAGAGAATTAGTTTAAATAATAAGCTAATGGTACTCATCCTTCTCAATTTATTTGGGAAAAACAGCAAGGATTTTATAAATGCTATTAATAGCAAAAAGGAACTGCTATTTAAGAAATTTATTCCCAGTAATTGGAAAGTCAAAATTCAACAGGGATTACCAAGGTATTTTAAATCTACCAACAAAATCTAAGCATCGTTCAGAGAAAATAATTTCAATTACTTCAAATGAGAAATGTTTTACAGAATACAAACTAGCACAAAATATGAACCTTGCAATTCCAAGAAAAGGAATGAGAGGAAAAGACAGTTTTTAGCCTTAAGACTTTTATACAATCTAAGGAGAGAACAAAAATTGTGATATGAAGAATAACTAGATATTAGTTAAGTGTTAAGAAACTACAGAAAGTCCAATAGGATTTTCTAAGAAGTTTCCAAAAAATATAATTACATGAATTTGTCACACATATTCCCTGAAGAATTAATTTCCCATTGTTCTACAAACTAAAGCCTCAAAAGTTAATAAATTATTTCTCATGAAGAGACACTAATAAGTAATAGAACGATTTGTTTTTAAACGAAAATATATACTCATAACAACTGCAGCTGCATTTATCTTATTATTTTGATCATTTCATTGAATGTTTCCATTCCATTCCTCTACTCCCACAAATACTGCAATACACCTGTTCATGAATGGTGCTGTTGATCCACTTCTTGTTTGGAAGACAGTCCATAAAGGAGATTTCCAGTAGTGAAAATTTCGCCACCATTTTGCTGATAACTCACTCTGACACACATTAATGTAAGATTTTGGATTTATCAGGAGAACATACATTAAGTAGAATAAAAATACATACATTTCATTTACCAATACTGAACATACATGCGAATTAAATTGTAGTTGTAAGTCATAAAATCATTGACAACTGGTTTGTTTCCTTGCACTGAAAATTCGCTTCACCAAACATACTCCATCGGCTCTATTTCACCATTTCCAATGAAATATTTCAATTGCATGAAGAAATTTTAAAATTACATAAAATTATAATTCAGGAAATTTTTAACATTTGTACTGTTGAACTTATAGGCACTATTAAAGAAAGTAAAATTCAACTGCATTTATCAGGTCATAAAAGTTTGTCAAGTTTTCAGTGGTAAAACAAAACACTAGAAATTCTAAGAAAATAGACTTTTTATTGCTTATTGTATATAGAAATATTTTTATTTGGAAAAGTAGAAAGAAAGATGAGAAAAAAAATGATTTTGAACTGTAGAGAAAATTACTGCTCCAAGAAATGTCAATGAAAATTTGTAATGAAAAATTAAAAAGACTGAAAACTCCAGCAATAATTATTAGTAGCATTTAAAATACTGACTTTATTTTCAGCAGAAAATTCTGTTACACTGACTGTTCATGCATGTTTATGGCAGCATTAATAACACACTTTTGCAAAAAGCACTGAAGTGAGCTAAGCATCCAGATGGCATAGGCAACAGCACTTAGAGCAAGTGTAGGAGCGTGCTTATGGTAGCGAACCTTCAAGTGCTTGTGGATGCGATGCCCAAGGGCCACTTACCATCATGCCGCATGTGAGCGTGATACCGCGGCCACAGTAAGTGTTGGGGACTATGTCCCCGTACCCTACGCACAGGAAAGTTATGGCGATCAACCACATCGAGTTTAGCAAGTTGGCATGTTCTTCGTCGTGGTACCTAAAGCAGGGACAAAACAGAAACGATTGCCCACAACGCCGTTTTTTGGTTAGTTCTCCATCTGGAGAAATGCACAAATACCAAAGTTCTGTGCCTTCATTCTTGTTTCAGAATATTCAGAGAATCGATAGGGAAATGTAATTGAGAAGGTAATACAGGAATTGATCAGGCATTTTTTGAAGTTCAATTTTCAAATCATTCATTTACAACACAATATGCAACAAATGGCATGCCATGCACAGCTATTCTAATGATTTAATACATATTATGTCTACAAACTGAACTAAGTAACATACAAATGGGAAAATAGAATGTGTAACAAAGTACCTACATGAAGACACTAAGAATAACAGATTCTACAATAGGATACAGTTTATACTGAAAATTAAAGACATATTTTATGAAGGAGTTGTTTGTACTGATCTACATACATCTTGCAGTGTGATGGACATACAGAAGGGAATGAACAATCACATTTTGGTAAAGGAGAAAAGTATTTTAAATGTAATCTAAAAAAGGCAAGACAAGACAAAAGAGTGTGAAAGAAAGCCATTCTTTAAACAGTTTTGTATGTGTTTCTTATGTTTTGCAGAAGTAATGATAATATTTACAAATGTGTGAAGCCAGAAAAGTTCAACTTTAGTCAATTTTAACCCACCCTAAGGGTGAAATGGTAGCATTGATCGCCGGACGATCACACACAGACAGACTGGAGGAGCACCAGGAAGAGAGAAGGAGTAATATTATTTTTGAGAAATTATTAACCTGAAATGATACACAAATTTCTCATAAAAAGAGACAAATTTGACAAAAAACACATTTATTCCCGGTAAGGATGAAGAGATAAGGCTGCTGTGGAATACTAAAGATAAATAGTTTAAATGCAGATTTTCAATGCCATTTACAAGCACAATTTACCTACAGAACTTTTAACTATAATGACAACTTTAATATTTTATTCTAAGGGAAAAGGTATGCCTAAGGGGAAGCAAATACTAAGCACATCTTTCATTTGCATCGCAAATGAAATCACTTTAAAATTATATCTACTGCAAGTCAGAGTTTTTGCTAAATATTTTGAACGGAATGATAAAAATTATTATAATTTGATGAAATGAACATGCCTGCTATGAAATTAAATAAAAAGAATTTTGAATCCTATAGACTTTATCAAAACTCAGAAGTAAGAATATTAACAGATACAGAAGAAAACCTAAATACTATTGAATGATACAGTTATAACAATGTAGATCGCACCAATTGAATGAACTCAAAGTAATATGAAGGAAACAGATTCATCTACATTATTCTTCATCTACATTACTTTACTGCAGCATTCGAATGACAAAATATGGTTTGTTGTTTTCACATACTACTTAAATCCAAGGTTCATTAAAAGAACTAATCAAAATCAGCCTACTGAAAAGTAATTTAAATAAAGACAATTGTTTCAGATGTTTAATTATTTAATGAATATGTACTCTGCACAGTAATACTTTAATTAATTAAACAATGGTAGTGAGAAACAATTTTAATATATTTTTATGACGTGATTGCGTGCATAGTTCAGTGCAACCTCAGTTGAGCTAAGCCTGAGTGAGTATGGACTTGTGAATGTACTAAAAGGTGATCAAATGCTGTGAATGGACAATTAATATTAAATTAGGTGGAGCAATGAAAAAATAAAGCAATATTATAAGTGCAATTGCATACAATATTCTAATTTGCCAGATTTTCTAATACACTACTTTAAATTCCTAATATTAATTTTACTTATAATACAATAAATGATTACAGCATTTTATGATTTACATTCAGCCTTGCTTTCTGATATCGTGATGAGCATGTAGTAAGCACAGAACACTTGTATCAATAAATTCAATTAGATTATATATTTTAGACTTTACATCATGCAATAAATGAAGAGTAAACAATGTACAGGCCCTTTTAATGTACAATTCACTAGAATGTGTCTTGAAGAAAAGGTACCAAGTTATTATTTGTAGCAAGTTTTGATTTTCATCTATTTGAATTGCTATTAAGGAATGCAAATATTTAATGAACTGGTATTTTTATTATTTGAACTATGTCATTTATGGTCCAATTTGCAAAATTAGATCTAATGAAAAGAAAGTATCTTTTAATATGATGTAGATATATCATCATACTGTACTATAACATACTTTAGCACTACTTTTATGAAATTCAATAAATCCAAGAAATTCAATTGTTCAATTTGTTTTGTAGATAATCTACTCTTTTACAGGTTCTGTGAATGAAATCACACCTTTAAAAGTATTTTACGTGGGAGCAAACCAATATTTTTTCTTCTTTTTTCAGTCTTCAAATCTATAGGAGGTATGAAAACTCAGCAACAAAAAATAGCAAAAATAATTTTTGAATGAAAGGGACATGGTTTCAAAAGCTTTTAACTTTACAATCATCAAATATTAGTACAAACGTCAGATATTTTTATTCAAAGGAATGCTATTAAGTAGTAGTACATTTTTTTTCGGGGAGGGGGAGGGACATTTTGTTTGAATGTCTTTTTGATGTGTAGAAGACAAGGGATCAAGTCTTAAATAATTGACAGCATTTTATCTTTGTGACAAAACATTATCCCATTGCTGGGACAATGGGTTGGTAGCAAAATGGCTCATTAATTCAATTATTAAAAGTATAGAAATGTATTGACCTGATAATATTTTGGAATTGCCCCCTTTTCAACATACTAGTTATTGCTACACCCAACAGTGCAAAGAAAAATATTGTATTATTTATGAAAAACACCTTTGCTTTCCTCTCACAAGGACTTGGGTTTGATTCCTATTAGAACAATTAAAAATTTGTAGCCTTCACGAAGATGAGCCAGGCTGTTTATGGGGCAAAATGGAAGCTGAGTGCGTGGATGGTGCTGAGTAATGGCTTTCTTGCTGTCAAATGTGCTGGTTGTTGGGCTGGTGAGTGCTTTGGCATTTTCTGGGTTGGCAAGAAAGCAATTGCACACTACCTCACTTTCTCTAAACTGCCTAATAAACCTCATTGATGCTACTCTCTGATGGTAAAAATCTGGCTGACAGACCATAAGTACTAGGAATTTCCAGGACCATAAAACAGATACAACTCACTGCTTTCAGCATATGTAGTTATAATTATTCAAATTTTGCCCACTTTTAACCTACTTCATATTACTCTCAAGATATTGCTTGTGTCCATATTTATGGATACACAATTCCAAAACACCCCAAGTCACTCAATAGTGGCAAGGTTTTAAGAATATGCCAAATATGTTGTTTTTTGGATACAAATTTGTTTGAATTTTATTTAATGATATATCTTTTTTATACCTCACAATTCTGCTGCCAAGTTTTTCGGGTTATTGTGGTATTTCAAATGAGAGAAAGAGGGTCAAAATGTCCTCAATAAATAAAGGCTTCGTGGAAAGTACTTCCAATCTTTCTTGTTACTGTAATCTTAAAATTGAACTGAACAATCTTTCTTTTCTTAATTAAAATAAAAATGCTTGGAAAAAATACTTATGAGAGAACTTTTGCATGAGTAAATCAAACTTATTTACCTCTACCTCTTCAGGGAGGGAAAAAGATGTTAGGAAAATGTCTTTCAATAGAATTCCACATACTGCACATCTTTGAATTTGAGATACTACATACCCCACCCTTACCAAGGAGTTAAGATACCCAGAAGATCTGAACACTCAAAAATGTAATAATGTTCTCTTAAGAGTCTGTGAAAAATGGCCTCTTAAGTGTGGGAGTTCCCTGTCTTCAGGAGATCCCTGACATCTCAAGGTTATGAGGTGAAGGTTGGCCCAAGTCATACAATTCTGGGTTTCAAGCTATATGTAAAGATCTTATTTTGTAGTTTATGGCTTGAAGAAGATAGGCCTTGAAAATTAAGTTTTAAAGCTCTATGATATTCTGTTTCCAGTTACACATGATCAATGTCAAGAAAGATAGATGAGGAAAACAGTGACGTAGAATAGTGGGGGTGGCATGGGTGGCTCTCTGGGCGTCACTTTTAGGGGGCAGAAACATTTCACAATAAATACTAATTATAATAATATCTTGTAAAAATTTGAACAATTTAATTTCATATTTTTGTCCCACCTGTGATTCAAATCTATTGAAATAAGCCCGGAAACTTTCATTATTTATTCTGTGATGACTTCTTTAAATAAATGCATTATAATAACATCTTGTTCATTGTAGTAAATTAGATTACAGAATTGATAAATCCCTTCAGGGAAGTTCGTGAGTGATGCTTTGACAATTTAAAGAAAGTTTCATTGATGGATCCTCAGTGGTACAAGTCACATTAACTTAATCGTATATGTGAATACGCTTTCCAAATCATAATTTTAATGCTCATAAGTATGTGTAAAAATTGTTAAATTATTGAACGTTGTTGAAAATTGTTTTGTTCATGTACATGTACATTCAACTATGTATTAAATATTTTATTTATGTTTTTTTATTTATGTAATTGTATGTTTGATTGTCTGCTACATTGTTCAAGCTTGTGTATTTGAGTCTTTTAAATTAAAATACCTATAAAAGGGGGCAGTGAAATTTTTCTCAGCTTCGAGTGACTGACACCCATGCTAAGCCACTGGAGGGAACAGAATTTAGATATGATTTTTCAACAAATATTAAGGTTTATTAAGCTCAAATGGAAATTATTACCTCTGTGTGAACTTCTCTTGCTTTTGCCACATGATTTTAAAGATTGATTTGGTGTTAATGCCACAAAATGTATTTATACTACAGAATTAATATAGGTGATATTTTGTTTGCTACAGCAATACATGATACCTGTAGCTGTTTACCTAAATAGAATTTTGCTCTCTCTGAAACAAATAAATAAAATGAATAAATGTGTGTAACTGTGAGTGTGTGTGTATATATATTTTAGATTAATATAAAAGGTCCTGAATCTTTTTTTAAAAAGTGTATTTCATATTATTTTAATGCTAATTGGTAATTATCCAATTCTCTCTAGAGTCTTATTTGAAAATTTCTAATATAACATATTGGAGGCTTTAGGTTTCATTTAATATTTGAATATGCCTAAGATTTCTTGAACAATACTGCTTTATACTCAACAAAGTTTTAATATTTGTTTAGAATAGTAACCTTATTGTGATCACAATCGTTTCTAATAAATCACAGAGAATGAAATTCATAAAGCTACCAAGAAGCCCAAAGATTTAAGAAGGAAGAACATTTTTTTATAACTCATTTAAGTAGCAAAATTGTACAAGCATATTACTTATATTTATCATTTCTACATTTCAGATGCTTTTATTGGAAGACTTTCTAAGAGGAATTATTTTTAGTCAGCAACCATTCTCAGAATATGTCTATTTCATCAAATTACGATGCAAATGAATTTGAAGATATTTCACTTAATGTGTGAATTCACTTAGTGATAGAAGAAACTGAACTTTTGAAAACCAAGTTGAATCAAGTTAACTTTGAATGTCACAAAAAAATTATTTGAAAGTTTTCATAAAAATTAAAAATGGAGAAAACTGGCTATATACATGCATTTTATATATTTGGAGTTTATTTGACAAGTTAAAACAAAACACATTTGCTAACTGATCCCAAAAGTAATTTATTTGTGAAAAATAAAGAAATGAATAATTTTATAATAACTTTATCAAAATTGCAGACCAAAAACTATAAGATCAACTTGTTAAAGGATCAAAATTGTTTTGGCTTCAAATTTTTCATGATGAGAGATGAACAACTGGATTGTATGCACTCAGTGTTCATGGGAAAAGAGGAAACAAAATAAAGATACTTGCAATGAAGTAACTCAATTTTGATAGAAATGAAGAAGAGTCATAAAACTATACATTTCTGTTCAACACTGACTTTCTGAAATGACCATTTATTCAGTCTGTTTCTGTTATTAATTACTCTTCATACATTTCTTTCAAATTTTTTGATTGTTGTTATTACTTTATTGAATTGTAAATGTATGTCCATTTATTTTTTTAAACAGTCATTCTGTGTATTTATTATAAAAATTTATGAAAACATTTAATGTTCACATCACATTTTAAAATATACCAATTTTATAGTCATGTATTGAAAGTCCAATGTTTTTTCCTCTTTCTTACCAGCTTTAGAAGCTGGGAATCACTTTCCATATGTATAGAATTTCTTTTATTTTCCCCTAAATTTATTATTTTACATTATTTTTAGAACAGATTAATTCACAAGTGCTGAATGAATTCTTTGAGAAATCATTAATTAATTAAGAAGCAGTCATATTAAAGCTTATATATGAAAGTAGTTTTCTTCATCTATATTAATTTAATTGAAATGGCAAACTACAATTTTAAAATGTCCCTTTTTTTTTGTAAGTTCATTTGATTCTTTACATGATGTAAAAGCCTATTGAATTTTCTCTTCATTTCAGCTAATAATCAGAAATGATTCTAAGGATTTTACTGAAAAGAAGAGTATTTTGGGAATTATTTTGGCTACTTTTTTCGGATCTTCAGTTTCAAACAAATAAAGAAGGTTTGTTTATTTGTTTTTATTACATATATCTAGTTTCTTCCAATCTTAATGAAATTTTGTGTACCAGATTATTATAGTAAGAGAAAAGTTTCTGTTATCATGGGATTTCATATAAAACTATTGCCATCAACTTTCCTATTTCTTAACTGAGAATTAAAGTTTGCAGTCTTTCTTGTGTTCAGGAGTATCTTCAAAAGGAAATTACTCAAAGTGGATAAGAATTATTTGAGAGCCTATACAATTTCCTACATTTATTTAATCATTCTGACAGTGTCTTTAAGTAATTGAAGTTAAAAATTGAAAATTACTTCTGAAGAAGAGAAGTGGGGTGTGAATGGATTGTATGGTGAAACATGATTTATTCTCTCATGTTCCTTAAATGTTTATGATAATTAAATGCCTGAGTAATGATAGGTTATATTGGATTATTTTGTTAGAAAACAGTCTACCAACAAAATATCACAGAAGTTGGAAGAAAATATAAAGTTTCTCCGGGAATCATTACCAATGTTGCAGCATCCTGTTGGCAACAACCATTAGATAAAAGGTTTCAAAAGAAAATTAATACAGAAGCTAAATGCTTACAATTCATGTGGGTGTTCAAAGTGATAATTTTTATTAACTCTGAAAGTAAATTAAAGAGGAAGAATTTTGTTTTTTAATAAAATCTCTAAATATAATCCCAAAATGTTAATGAGATTCTGTAAACATTTTTAATTTGCAATTTCTCTTTCCCCAATTCATCTTTGAGAAAAAGAGCAATGGTTAAATAAATAACTCACAATTGAAAGTAATTTAGTATTTCAGAAAGTCAGACAAGGGCTAAGTATAAAGTTAGAAAGGGAATATTCTCAGTTTTTAAGTTGAATTCAATGAAATGTAAGCAATGTTTAAATAGATTCAAAATCAATGTTATATGGGTTATGTCACGATACTTTTATTATCTTGGGAAAAAATTGCATACTTTATATATTTTTTATAACAATTTAGAATCAAACAGTTAGTTTAACTGATACAATTTAAAAATTAATTTATTTATGATATTGTTTTAAATTGTATGATTATTATATTTCTAAAAAAATTCTCATATTTATGATGCAGTGTTGTGAGAAAGATTTCAGAGACAACAATAACAACCACAACAACTTTTCTTTACTTTTTGTGTACCATTTTCATATATACACGATTGCAATATTCCCAGTTGATATGACATTGCTATAAAATAATCTCATCCATGTTTCATATTACTATTCTCCTCAATCTTGCAGCATCCTTGACAAGAGAAAAACAACAGAAGGACTTGACCATCTCAAATCTTTTCACATAAACATTGATGGGAAAGGACAATGCAAGCAACAAGAAGAGAACAGCAATACCAAACAAGGACAAATAATTAAGAATAACAGTGAACCAAAAAGCAAGCAACACTAAATTGTAGTACAAGATTAAATTGCACTTTGCAATAATCCACTAGTGTGTTAACTGAAGTGACAGATTTTCAGAAGAGCGTGCAATTCACAAAGAGGCACCTATCACCTACAACTATGAAGTATAATCTAAGAAATCAAATAATCTGTGTTAACCACAAAACATTCACCATAAAACAAATTTAAAAAATAGTGACATACCAACAGAGAGCAGCAATGCTGGAGAAAGAGAGTTCCAGACCTGAACTGAATTTAATGCGCATTAATGATCAAAATTGAAGCAGCAGGCAGAATACAATTTAATTCAATGCAATGGATGACACTGCTTTCTCTGTATCTGGTTGTAAAATAATTGATCACCATAACTTATTTATCTAATTTTTAATTTCTTCAAAACATTGTTATACATATATAGAATCTTAAATATTTGCTGATATGGATATTTTCATAGTTCAGAAAGTTGTAATAAGAAGAAAGAAATTAATACTTTTTAATAAGTGGTTTACATAAAAACTATGAAAATCACAGTGAGTATCATTTTCTCCAAGAGGCAATGCAACTGCAACTGTTATGTAAAAAATAAAGTTAGTCTAGCATATGAAATTGAAATGTATTATGCCTTCCAAATGAAAGCAGAAATAAAATCAGGACCAATATAAGCTTGATATGTAATGCTATTAATGAAGAAAATTGTCTTTACCATTTGAAAACATTATTTTATCGTGACACATGAAATTTTCTATTCAAATAGTTCTTTATGGAGGTAAAATACTTTAGGAAACAGCTTGAAGCAAAATAAGTTTGTTTCATAATATTGACACCTAATGTGTACAAAAAAATGTGTTTAAAGTCCATACTCACTTCTTCAAATGTTCATTTTAAATTATCATTCTATCCACTAACTACTAAAACATTAAAAACATTTTCCCTGTAAATCTGATTAAAATTAAAAGGCATCTGAAGGTGCTTACTCTCCTATAGCATTCAAGAAGCATACAAGCTGCTGCTATAACACTGTTTATATGATTTTTTACATACAATTGCAAGATGGTAAGATACTTTTTATCTGAAAATTTTATGTATGCACATAAAATAAAATATTAATTTTTAAGAACAGAAGCTCTCTATTCTTCTACTGCTAGCCTCAGATAAAGATTCAATGAAAATAAATATACAAACAGGAAAAATGGTGGTACTTAAGTAGATAGCTTTTGGGAGATTCTAGCATTGCCTATTTTTACATTAATGCACTTAAATTACAAAATTTATTCACAATTTATGAAGTGAATCATTGCCCAATTTATTATTTGTTTTACTTGTAGAAGAAAGTCCTTAATAGAAAAGAAAATAGTAAGAAGTCATAAAGAAGAATATAAAAGATAGATAATAGATTAATCACTGGAAAATGAGATTTTAATTTCCAAATTTAAAAATTACCCAGTAACAGAGGCATAATGTGCAGTTTTCATAATTTTTTTTCTTTTCATCTTATTAAAAATAAGATTTTATAATCAATTTTAAAAGTTATAAACTCATTATTTATTAATTTTTAATTAGAAGAGGAGTATATTTCAGTTGAAGAAATTATAAAAAATGTTAAAACATTTTGGGTACTACCTTGCAATCATTTTAGGGTGAGCAGAAAGATTGATAAGATAAAGCAGGGGCAAAGAGAAGATAAAGCACTCATTATTATCAATATAATAAAATTTGAATAATGAGTGAATTAAAATAATAATTGTATCTCAACATGTCTCAAATGTTGATCCGTTTTAGAACTATTTTTTTTTGGACTTTATAAGTATCATTGGAATAATGAGCAAAAACTAAACTCAGTGGGCCAAAAAAAAAGTTTTTTTTCTTTATTCCAATGACATGAAACTTTTCTAATTATTTTCAGGATCAATACAATTTGGAAGAAACTTTCGGGAACAAACATTTACAACACGCTGAATTTTTTGTTACAGCATGAACTAGTTCTAATCTCCACAGTGCATAATGCTACAAAGCCTATTCACTAAATAAAATAATTAAAAACTTAGTTACTGAAACAATTAAAACTCCAAACCTATCAGAACTGATTTTTTTTAACCAATCACAAACATGAAATTGAAATTTTACCTATCACAAACACTTGTGGAGAATAAGAAATACTAATATTCTTATGGCAATTGTAGGCCTACATTTTCTTGCGAATAAGTACTTGTAGTACTTAATAATTTAAGTAGATCATAACACAAAATCAATGAAAAAATGTTGCACCTTTATTTTCTTCACTTTTATTATTTTAATATGATATTGAAGCTTTTCTTTGAACAAGCAGTACAGAGAAGGCTTTGGAAACAATTAAACTTCTTTGAAGAAACTTCATTTACAACAGAAAACAGATTAAGTGCACGGAGGAATACGTAATATTGTATGCATGGAGGAATATTTAATAATTCTATACTCCTCCATAGTAATATGTATAAGAACAAATATACAACTTGGCAGAAGTTTTTTTAATCCAAAGCTTTTTGAAAAAAAGAAATGAAATATTTCTTCCATTTTGAATGACTTGTAGTTGTATTGTAAAGACTGTCTTTACCCAATATTTAACTATTTACATTGTATTTTCAATACGGCCGTGAAAGCTTTTTCAGTTTGTTCTGATAAGTTTTTGAGTTTTAACTATTACATACGAGCAACATTATATTCTGAATTAAATATTAGATAATAATTGTATGCATATGATCTATTAGGCACAAATACATGTTAGAAGTGACTTTAAAACATAGGTATTTTTAATTAATGAAAAATATGATGTGTTAATTTTGTTTTTGACATGGTACTTGCTCTAGGAATGACATGATCAGATACTTCTTAATACTACATTCATATGCAATGGAAATTTATAGAATTGTCAGTTAGAGAAATAGAAGGGAAAGAAAGGAAGATGCTGAAAGAGAGAGAAAGAGTGAAGTAAGAAGTAAGTTTAGAGAAGAAAAGTTAAAGAGACAGACTTGAAGGAACTAAGACAAGGGCAGCAATAAGAGCAATAGCAAGGGCATTAGCAACAGCAGCACTAGCAGCTGAGGCGGCAATAGCAGCAGCAGTTTTAGTAGCAGCAACAGCAACATGTGTATGCTAAACTCCATCTGGTATGATCGCCTTGCGTCATTTCATCTCTGCGACAGCACTAAGATGGGATGACCCCGCTCGGCAGGTGGGCAGGCAGCGCAGCACAGCAGTGGAGGCACACACACAGCCGGTGCGGAGTGCCAGACCTCTCTCTTTCCTTCTCCTTGTCCTTAGTCTCCTTGTTCTGATCACCATTCTCTAAGTCTCCATAACAGCCAATTTCATTAGCACATATGCTTTATGCATGAATGTTATAATCTGGTTTTATCTCTGTAGCTCTTAGCTGTGTCCACATTCTGATGTCCAGTTAGTTATTGAATAAAATTAAAAGAAAATTATTTTTTCATATTACTTCTTTTGTTTTACAGACAGTGAGTAATTATAACTGGCATGTCATTTTTGTTCATATAATGTGAGAAAAATGTCCAGAAAGTGGTTAATAGTAACCAAACATTACAGGAACACCGAGGTATCAACTAAAAACCAAAATGGAGGACATGGGGGCAACAAGCATTAACCAATCCAAGAAAGGATCAAACACATTGAATAAAATGAGAAATCACTGAAGATATGATTTCAAATTCACAATAAACACAACATTTCCTTGTAAAAAGAATTTATGAAATCCACCTTTTGAGCATTACTTAATAAAACACACATGACTGGCTGTTGACACCAAATATCCACTTTCACTACCATGCACACTTTAAAAAATAAACAACATTTATAATAATTTCAAAATACACTACTCCTGAAGCTCACATAAACTATTCTACATCAACTAAGTAGAGAAGAAAGTCTGCACACTGACAAGAACATGCCCATTGGTAAAAAGGTTGGAAAAAGATTGCATAGAAATATATGAGATATTTAAAAAAAATATTTTAAGATCTCTGCCATGTAATATTTTATTTTATTTATGGATAACTATTCAAAAGGAGCACAAAATCATAGATTTTTGCCTTGGAAACAAAATGTATTTTTGGTGAGCATTGACAAATGGGCTAAGTTCTTATTAATGTTGCTTCAATTTCTGACAACAAATAAAATTAAATATCAGCTACTGCAGAGAAATTAGTTTTTCAATATTTTTGTTGTTAAAAAACTATTATTCAAATTTTTGTTCTGGGAGGCTGCGTAAGTGCAGAAATTAATTCCAAAATTCCAATGAATTACATAATTACAAAATTTTGTGAAGATAACTCAGTCATATCATTTTTATTCTTATATTATTTTATGTTGAAATCAATGACATCTCTAGGTGCATGCTTGATGTGTTGATGTTTAAAAGTTAACTTCTTAATAAGTGAGGTTGTAATGTTCTAAAGTAAAGATTAATGAAGAGTCAAAAACCAAGATTATAAAAGAATTAAATTTACAATTATTTTGATAATGAGCTGAATATGATAAGACTGAGAATATTAATGCCTCATAAGTGTAAACCGAGATTTCACTTCAACATAATGAGGAATTTAGGCATGGGAGGAATAGACAATGGCAATAATACCACTGAACCAACAATTTTTGCGAGTCATTAAATCTAATTAAATGAAAGTAAACTTCTGCAAGATGCATGAATGATCACATACCTACTTCATTTTTCCACAATTAATACAGATTTTGCTTTAATTTTGTACTTCAAGCCACTTAAAATTACGATACACATCATGTTGCCACCAAAAGGAAGTCTTACATGGATGTGCAATGAGCTTGCTAAATCAGAATGACTGAGCATAACTTGACAGCACACTATTGGGATCGCTCTGAAAAAAGTATTGAAGTTATAAAAACAAAGAAGAAAATTATTGAACAGCAATATCATAATATTATAAGTGATGCAAATCAAATCATCAGGCTTCTCACCTATACTTTACATGATTTGTTTAAATGATTTTAATTATTGTACGATTTTCAATTTCTTAAAATCTGAGGATTCCCATTACCAAAACCCTGTGCACGCCTATGATGAATTACAAGGTAGCTCTTGCAAATGATTATGAGGTAGCTGTTTTTGTGTCAGAATATTTACATAGCTCATTTTTCAAATGGTCTAGATCTGCATTGTGGATTCTCTTGTACTCCCTCGCAACGATATGGAAACGGCTCAGCAGATATTCACATTGTCCGGCGTCTGTCGAGCCAACGTTGGTCGGGTCATCTCGATCATCCAGCATCTCACAGGCGTCCACTCGCACATCTCTACGGACCTTCCCCGGCCTCAGAGCCCATCGCACGGGGTCCGGGCTCTGGGCGCCGAGGGGCGGGCGGGGCGAGGGCGGGGCCACACAGCACAGAGAGCAATCGAAAGCGTGGGCGTGGGCGTGGGCGTGGGCGGGCACTCACCTCTCGCACTGGCGGAGCGTCCACGAGGCGATGATCCACAGCGACACCATGAAGACGAGCAGCACGGTGCCGGGGCAGATGGTCATGAGCGTCTTCAGCACGAAGCGGGTGTTGAAGTTGATGCGGTTGAGGGCGCCGATGCTGCGCGACGACGCGTCCGTGAACAGCTTGCTGTGCAGCAGCATCACGCGGCAGATGAGGTAGAGGCGCAGGAACATGGGCAGCGACAGCGCCACGTCGTACGGCACCGTCACCCGCCCCATGCTGCCGCCCTGGTTCGCCAGCCGCGTCGTCCACTCGAACTTGTAGTCGCCCGGAATCGGGTGCACCGCGCAGATGGCCAGCTCCACCCCGATCTGCGTGATGCGCTGCCACGTCATGGCGATCCGCCAGTCGTCCGCGCAGTTGTCGATCATGAAGAGCTGCGCAGCAAGCACCGCGTGGTTGGCGACGGTTGCTGGCGGCAGGCAGTGGCGGTGACAGGGGCTTCGGTTGGCGGTGGTTGGTAGCGGACAGTGACTTTTGGCCGGGGTTGGCATGGGTTGGCATCAGTTGGCGATGGTTGTAGGTGGTTGGCGTATTTGGCGGCGGTTGGCAGATGGAGGAAGTCGGCTACTGAACACGGATGGTGGAGGTTAGTGGCCATTGGCAACTGTGGTAGTCCGCAGTTGAGGTGGTTGGAGATGGTTCGAAGTGGTTGGTGGTTAATGGTAGCGGTCGAGGGTCGGCAGGGTCGGTGACGGTGACGACAGCAGCGGCGGTGGCAGCGACGAGGTGGTGGGGAGGCGGCGATGATTTAGAAGTTTCTTCGTGAGTGACATAGTCTTTACTCTTGTTATTTTAAAGGGTTGCTGGAATTTTGCTAAGAGGAGGATACATTTGAACGGGCTGTGGGGGATGATCTTTAAAAATTCTTATTTTTCATACGAATTTCTAAATAAGGATCTTGTTTCCAATAGTTGTCAGAAGCCACCCTTATTTACTTCCTTCTAATATAACCATGAATTTTTATTTAGCATTAGCATTTATTTAGCTTTTTATCTAGCATTTGAGAAAAAATATAATTATTAATAACTGAACCTCACACTTTTCTGATTGAGATATTCACTCAACGTTTCTTAAGAACATCGACAATATTTTCCCTTTTGAATTCAAGATCAGAAACTTAATCGAGTATTTTTATATTCATTACAAATTCACATTCGTCGGTTAAACAATGTTATTTCAATGTTATACATTACCTAATTAATAGTCGTATGGTGAACGTGGTAAAATTTGTTGTAACGTTATTTAAAACCATTAAAATTTACCATTTATTTATAAGAATCAGAGATTAAACTTATTATTACTCCTTTTATCCAGTTAAATGAAGATACGCTTAAATATGCCGCATATTGATATGAATGGAATGATAACCGTATTATTTACGAAGGAGGTGTTCGAAAACATCACAAAAACGATATCATACAGCTATTACTACCAACTCTCTTTAATGATTTAAAGCAGGGAAAAGTGCAGAATTCATCCAAGGTGGCTCAGCCAGACTAGTTCCAATTAAGCTTGTTCTACAGCACATCGCACGCCTATGTTACTAGTAGCGAGAAAGCGTTAGCCTCCGCCACATGCGCTGGAATCTGAGGTTAGTTTACCTGCACCTCCAGGCCATGGTAGGCAACGATGAGCCCGAGGAGAATCACAGTTGAAACTGAAATAAGAGTCTTGAGCGCCGTTGAGAAGAACGAATCCTGAAACAAAAGAAATGTCACATTACTGAACAATGTTATAAATTTGATTTTTTGTTTATTTATTGCAAAATTAACACATAGTAATTATTCATTCATTTCGTTATGTAAAATAATATAAAATTTTCTTCTTGTTTAGCAGAAGAAATACGAAAAGATACTGTGACACGACCACTACTACCCCTATTTTTATAACTCGGCATTATTTAATTTATTGGAGTGGCTAGCTCTAATTTTAATCGAAGTTTGGGCGCTTACATACTTACACTATCATTTATTCGTGGGCTGGAAATAGCCGATCATGGTAGAATCGGACAGTGAAGGTTGAAATTTGTTAGGAAATGTTTCAACTCTTTTCTAATAAAAAATCATATAATAGGTAATTTGTTTTAAAATTGTGAGTGACATGAAAAGTCGACTTCGAAATTAATTTTATTTTCGTTTCTATAATTTGACAAAAAAACTCTTTACACTTTCTTTAATTTTACCTATATTTGATGGCCATCGACTGTCTATTTGGATAATGACACATTTTTTATATCTTAAATTTATCTCTTAAAATTTAAAACATGTGTTGGCCTTGCTAAATTGATTATAAAGCCCTTTAACTTATTACCTATATTTTCCTTTACAAAGATATTACGGCACACTTGACGTAGTGACAAATTAAGCGACTATTTCATATTTTCACTCTGGAGCTCTTCACGTTACCAACTAAAACAAAATATTTTTACATAATGCTCTGACGGGTAAAGCTCCTCCTACTATCAAATATAATGTAGCTCTGACTCAAAGAAAAAGTGTTCATTTGCACCTACAACCTGAGCCAGAGTTCACTTGTTTCATTGTTACTACCTCAACTCGATGAGCTCTTGTTGCCCCCGCAACCATGCATCTAGCCCTCTCTTGTCATGTCCACAATGTTTTGTGTTGTAAACTTTGTTTCCCAAAAACTTTCTAAATTGCCTAAAATTTATTTAACCAATAGTATATTTTCATCTTTCGATGCCCCGTATCTCATTTTAATTTCTATCTCGAAGTAATTACTCATATTTTACTTGTTTTATTGCGTTAAGTTTTTTATTTTAGAATACACAATCCCGAAAGGTATTTTGCATTCTCTCAAAACTGATGTGGAAATGAACGATAATTCATTGATAATAATTTTTCATGATGCTCAATGTTCACCAACGGTTTAGATATTCATGGATCCAGTTTATTATAGTTCTTAACGTCAATAGACCGGTAAACTGCAAATTACAGACTCGACTGATGTTTACCTAGACAATAGACGAGGTTTGTAACCACCCGAGTATTATTTGTGTTATTGGCCATGAGTCGTTCAACAATTTTCGTTATAACATCTTATTGTAATAAAAATACTATATAAACAATTCTTCTTGGAATAAGTGTTTTCGTACGAAATCTTTAGTTACAAATTATTTATTTCGATTGTTCATAAAGGACGACGAACTGTTAAATCTTTAACGGAGGATCGGAGGTTAAATCTTTAAGGGTGACCTTTCTTTCCTTTAGTAGCGTTAAGTCGATAAAACAGAACAGTAAAACGAAAATTGTCAAAAATATTCAAGCCTTAAAACACCCAATAAGTAACATAAAATTCTATAATCACAATAATTTCGCAAAAGTAATTATTTATTCCATGATAAAAATTTAATCGAAAGTCTTTGGAAAGTTTCAACCAGCCTTAAAAAATACCAAAAAAGCAAACAACATAAATAACAAGAATTGGAACTATCTTAACTTATTGCCAATCCAAAGAGAAAAAAGGTCTTCAATGTCATTGCATTGACAGATAATGACTTCTTGTTTGTAGAGTACATGTTGCAGTCCAAAAGGAAGGTTGTCAAAAAAGACGACGAGTATCTCTTAAATACTCGTACAAGCGTAATTAATTTGACCTATCAGTTGGAAGAATTTTTACGAATAGTTTAATTCAATACCAATAGATAAAGAACTACGTAGTAATGCTTAGTTATAAAATAAATTAGAAATATTTCTGGGGAAATGAAAAAAAAAACGCGATCAAGCATTTCAGAATTAATTTAAATATGCTATTGCAGCGGCGATAAGTGTTTAAATTTAGACGAACGGCCCGGCAGCTGCAGCGCGTGACAGCGAGGGGCGCGCGGGGCTGACGGGCGCCGGGATGTCGGCGCTCGCGGCGTCAGCGGCTGCCCGTCGCCTCGGCGTGCCGCCTCAATCCATCACCACGACTCTGCTTTGCTGCGCCGCGCCGCCAAGTCATGCCACCGCGCTGGCTAGGGCCGCCTGGACGCGGCGGGCTGCGGCAGTGTTCGCGCCGCAGCGCCGTGACGAACTTCGCCTAGGCAACCCGTCGCACGCTCCTGTATTACGCAGACCGGTTGCAGCGTGCCCCTGCCAAACGTTCCGTGCGAGATTGAGGACCGCGAGGGAGAGGCGGTGTTGGGCGAGAATACCTAGCCCGATCACACAGAAAACGAATGATCAACACTTTTATATTTGGTTCAGGCCAGAGGATGATTACTCTGATAGTTATAAAACTGTTGAGAATCTTCCAATCACCCTGCGAAATGTATTCTTTTGCCAGCCTGAGACGAGCGTCAACAGATTTAAAAGTGTCATTTCAGTGAATGAAGTTCAAGGTTATTTTTCATAAGATTTTTCAAATTAAGTCACCAAAATAATTTTTTAAGATTTGTAAATAATAATGCCGAAATGTATGTGAAAATATGAAACTGAATTCTCTGATTGATAAATTAAAGTTGAGGTCATGCACGTTCAAGGTAACCGGGCAGTCCATAAAAACCAAATATTAAAGCGCCTGCACTGTTCACTTTCTAAACTTGCAAAAAAAATCTTTTATACAAACAAACAAAGGACAACAACCAAGTAAATAATATTTCTTTAAACAGAAGTTTTGAAATATTTTTTAAAATATTTATTTGCTACTTGTTCAATTACATTACAATTACATCTTTTCCTTGAAATCTAACTGCATAAACATATTCTTTTCATGCGAGTATTTTCCAGTTGGTGGAATGCCAGGAATAATAGGTTGAACCACAGCCCCAACACAATGTAGCAAACGTTTGAGAAATTAATGCAAATCATTTTCACGTGTCATTAACAACTCTCCAAATAATTTAGGCATGCACGTCAAAATAATAGCTCACGCGACTGGAACAACTAACAGACGTTGAGTGCACCAGACTTAATTTATTACCATGTTTTCTTATTTTCATGTTTCTGAGCGAAATATGTACTAATATTGCTGCGGCAATCTCGTCATCTGGACTGAATTAATTCACAACACTTGCTTCGAATTTATTAAGTATTTTCGTTATTTGATCTTCTGTAATTATTACTTCACGTTGATTCTACTCGGAGAGTTACCCGAATTCTCACGTCATATACCGATTGTAATTTTCATTCACCGAATGAAACTACTTTGCTGTCAGAATGTTGATCAAGCTGGCTATCGATAATTTTGTTTCTCGAAAGTTAATCAACAATTGGTAACGGTTACATTGGGCTTAATTGCACGCGCAGAGGTGTATTTTCTGGACATTGTCGGGCTTCGAAGACCTTGATTCTGTAATGTAGACAAACTTTTGTAAAACGACACGAAGAATGGAAATTCGACTTAAACAAAATGTTGGTCTAAAACAAGTCTCTTCGTCTAAAACAAACTCTTCTAGACGCCGGCTGCTCTGATCGGTAGTTTTACGAGGTTTCTTCGATCAAAACCAGGCGAATGCTGGAGCAGTACCCTAAGAAACGGGCCATGGAGCGCGCGAGAGCTTTTCTTCCACTTTCTTGTCTTATGCTACCCCTTACTTACATACACCTACACGCAGTACTCAACCACATATGCCGGAAGACCGGTCGGAAGCTTAGAGCCTGTCTCGGCCGAGGCGGTGCCAAGATGGTGGGCAATACCTGGTTAGGAACACCGCGCTAGCCGATAGTAGGTCGGTGCTGGATCTCGCAATCCAGCGGGGAAAGATCACTGCCACCTCCCGAGGAAAAACATGTACTACACTAATGACCTTATCAGAAGACGCGCCAGAAATCACTGACAATCAATCATCAATCAAAGAAAGAATAGGCTAAAATGCGAGGGAAGGATGTGAAAAAAAAAGACTCTCCCGAAGGATGTTTGCGTGGGCAAGGGCGTCCCCGAGCGAAGCGCGCCAAACAAATTCCATTTGAGGGCGGGGCGCCGGCGCACGGCGGGAGCGGGACGCGGAACACGGGAGAACAGCCGCGCAATCAGCGAAGATTACTCGCCGCCCCACCCTCGCCTCCGCCTCCGCTCCCCGGCGCGCTCTCGATCTCCTCTCCGGCGCCTCTCCCGTTAACTTCATTACCTCTCGGGTGGCGACCGGCCTCGTAAAACCGGGACCCCCCCCACCCCGTCCCCGCCCCGGGCACGCGCACTCCGCTTCCGGCCGACTGCTCTCGCACGAAGAAATCGACTCCTGTCCGGCGCCCCTGGAGCACCCCTTTGTCTCTGCTACACGGTGGCTTCAAAAACGTCAAAAACGGGCAAAAATCAGTTTTGCGATGTTGTGTATTAAACGTATGGGCGCATATGAAACTAGTAGTGCTAAAGAGAACGTACTTCCACGCCCGTACTTTTACGCAAAAGTACGCGAAAAAGTAATCAAATTTATGACCTTATTTAAAAATCTATCTTTAAGGAACAGATTTCATTGTAGGAGAAAAATCACTATCTTCATAATTGTAATTGTAAAAAGGCGACGAAATAATTTTGAATTTTTGAAATTTTAAAAAATCAAGAGTTTTGAAATGAAAACTGTACCATTTACTTAAACATCCTCCACACTATCCAACAGCAATAGTAAATCAAAATCGATGGAGCCATTGTTTCCAACATTTTGAAAATGTCCCTGGGGCTTCATATAAAGTAACCCTCCAAAATTAAAATATCGGTTACAAATTTAAGGGGCCACGACATCAGTCACATTGATTGGAGAATATCAATTTTGGAGAAAATAGGCTTAGTTGCTAGAGTTGTTCACAGACGGCAGACAAACGGACAGTCGGACGGGACGGAAAGACGTTTTTCCGTCATTCGATTTTTCGGTACCAAGGACTCAAAAACATAGATTCTGGCTACACCACGTTTTATAGCATTTCCCCTCTAAATTTAGCAACTGGATTTATCCACATTTTCGTCACCAGGGCCCAGTAATACGAGTTTTTCTGCCAAATATTTGCCGTTTTTTGTGCAACATTACATAACTTTTGATCTACTACGTAAGCGGCAGCGAGATAGTGAAAATCAGAGCTTCAAGTTCCCCACTTTTGTTTTGTTATTTATACTGTTTTTTTTATCTTTCATATTTTTTCTATTATTGGGTAGGGGTAAGAGCTCCGTTTACGTGCCGATTTTTTTTGTTCAAAATTCAGGCGATTACTCCGATTTTGGAATCCACCTTTACTGCCTGAGAACAATAACATTATATTCGACTTAGAGGAAATTTTATAGAAGTGCATTTTGAAAGTCTTTGTGTTCTTATAATGATGCTAAAATGACGTTTGCTCATAGGTTTTTTACAAGTCCGATATGAAAACTGTTAAATGCGTTATATATATTTGTCAACATGTCAGAACATTTATGCAAAACATTTTACACAATTTATTTTCAAGCATATTATGAAATTTGTTCCAGGTATTTACAAAAAACTAGGTAACACCTGAGTAAAAACATCAATGAAGAGGAATACACGAAAATATGCGGATTGCCTACAGTTTACTCAAGTGCTTTTTTCGTTATCGTCATCGTATCACCGGTAATACGGGACTAGATAAATGGTTGTCTGATATCTAATTTTTATATTGCATCCATGAACAGAATGAAGCCTGAAACTCGAAAATGACCGATATTTTGCCGCAGAAATGGAAAAAAGTCACGCAAAAATGCTTGTATATTGTAATAAAATTTACAACTACACTTTAAGATTTTCCAAGAACAACTTCAACTAATTGTCGTTCAGAAATGTCCTTAGAGCATTCCCATTTTTGTTTTCATGCAAAGATAATTTATGATCGATAGGCACAAGTATTGTGTTTGGAGTTTTATCGAAGGAAAAACTTTTTGTCCGCTTTCTTCACAAACCCGGAACACTGTAGGCCATTCCATTTTGCGCCCACGCACTCACTTCCGTGGTCCCGAGTTTCTCCGACTGCTCCCTGCCGCTTCCCCGGACGGATTGTTCCCCGAGTCAACAAAGCTGCCGCTTTCGGCTTCCTCATCCTGTCGCCGGATGTTTTTCTCTCAATGAACACCCCATCTCTGGACGGGCTCCCTTGTGTTCTTATGGCTCTTGCCTTTCCAAATCCCTGCACTCCAGAAGATAGTCTTTCATGCGCGTTTGATTCGCATCTTTTCCTTCAGGCTAAGCTCACTTCAAATATTTCTCACAATTAGAAGAAACTGAATTTCTGCTATTTAATGATGCCAGTTTCATCCATGAAAACAATGTTTCATCCCATATCTGAGTTATTTTTGCGCCTATTAGGGAACTTGCTTCATTATTTTCTCATCCGTACAAATATTTCTTGGAGTCTACACGCAATTTCAGAGGTAAGCTAACAAGGTTTAAAGGAGAAACATTTAGCGAATTTTGTTTAAATATGCGGATTGAAACACACGGCAGGTGTACATTTCATAAAGTAAACCGAAATTTATGTGATTGCTTTTCTTTTAAGAAACCTATACTGCATTCTTTTTATACATCTTTAACCTTATCAAAATATCTTTTGTCCACATTAGTGTGCTATCAGTCAGAATCCTCAGAATTTGTAATCTTTCTTTTCAGTTCTCTATATTTAAGATACGTATTTTTCCTCTGTTGATAGTTGCAAATATTTTCTTCTCTTTCAGCTTTTGCCAGACTTTACAATAATTACTAATTTCTTATTTTTTTCTTTTTAATATTTCATCCTTATTCTTGTTTCACTGATTTTACACGCCCATCTGACTTATCGTTACCAATTTTGAACACGCCTTTCCTTTCGCTTTGTCAAGGGGGCATTTCATTTCAATTTTGACTCGCAAGTTCAAGTTCAATAAGCTTTCAATCGACCTTATTGGCGTCTAGAATATTGCTTTTCTTTGTTAATCAAAATTAAACGAAAGCGTCTCCTTAACTACTTTTCTTTGTGTTTGGGCTTTGTCGTTTTGGTTTTTTTACTACACACTCGGCCAAGAATTGGATTATCATTTGTTTTGTTTATTGTACATCGCGTTATCCTTATCTGCCCCTTTCTAAGCTATCTTCTTTGCAATTTACACTCAGTGCACCTTTTCGCCCATCTTACACTGGAATCTCTGCTCTTCTCTGAATTTCGTTCTCTTCGTCCGGACCTTCATTTCTTTCTTCGAATTCACCTACTTCTCTGCTCCATTTTGCTTTTGCCCCTCCCTTCGCTCTTACTCGCGTTCTCAAGATGATCTCCCTTCTTTATTACACTCCTCCTTCATTTTTCCGTTCCGTTTCGTGGAACAACCCCTTTTTTCACTTTCCAATGCACTTCTCTTCCTTTCGTCCTATGCATTCACATCTTTTTGTTACTTTCTCTTCATCTCTCTTTCCCCCGAAGCCGGGTGCGTCTTTGCGGCGACGGCGCGTCGGGACGGAGAGTCGCGGGCGGGTGGGGCGGGGAGGCGTGCCCGGGGTGGAGGCGGGGCGGGGTGGAGGCGTGGCGGGGGCGGGGGTGGGCGCGATCTAACGGTGGCCGGCCCGCGGTCTATGGGGGAGAAATTGTATTTCCACGACTTTTTTTAGAGCCGCAAGAAATCCGGATCGCTGAAAGGCAGCGAACGGCCGCAGACGACAGGAGCGATGGTGAAGGAGGGGAGGGGAGGGGAGGGAGGGGAAGGGAGGAGGAGGGGGGGCGAGACGACGTGCGTCAAATGCGGGGAAGGCGGATTACGCGGCTGTGGCGAGACGGCAGTGCGGGGGTAGGGGGCGGGTGGGGGGAGGGGGGCGCCTGGAACTGGCGCCCGAGGGCACAGGCCGCACTGAAGTGGGTCGAGCTCCCCGCCCAGACGCCCGCCGCACGAGGCGGCCATGCCAGCCATGCCTCGCCTCTGCCGGCGGCAGGGCCAACAGGCCAGCCGTCATTCTCCGGCGAATTCCTCCATCATATCGAGGGAGAAGAGGTTTCCAAACTGGTTGCCAGAGAAAATTATTTCTCTGCAGCGGGTTCAAATTCATTGAGGACTAGATTTCCAATTTGTTTGTTTACAGGTTATGTGCTACACTTCAACTAATTATGTGTTACTATGTAAAAAATAAACATTTATCATAATCACCTTCTGGATGCTCCTGGCTCTAATTCTCCACTGCGTCATGCTTCAACAGTAACAAATTTTACTTAATCTACACTTTACTTAATCATCACTTACAGTATCACCCTTTATTTTTCAATTTCCCTCCAATAATTTTTGATTCCTTCTAGGCTGTCCGGGTAACGCCGCGTCGTACAATAATTTTTGATGTTTGACCATCGTGTTTGAGGATTTTCTGTGTTCACTCAATGACGTATGCAGGGATAGCCCTGTGTCTAGCGTTCGAGATGTAAATATAGAATCTGCTCCCCTACATTTTGCAAAGATTTTGTAGTTTAATTATTTAGATAAAAATGATGAGACATTTTGAGAAATGAAGATTATTACCTTTTTAAAGGAGAGGCAGCGTCTATCCCTATATTAGTGATTCTAGAAAAAACGATCAAATGACAATGAAAATTCACTCTATCGTTATGGTTTGTGAAGCTCATTCCAAGTAGATAGATTTGGATCATGGAAAGGCATTTAACATTATTTACGTCCGAGCTCACATAACGCGCATTTGAACACTGACTATAGCCGATCACTATTAAACAATCTTTAAACCGATACTTTTTTAAAATAATATATTACTAGAAATGCAAATATTGTCGTAACTCAAATTACGACTTCTACAAGTATCGAAACTCTCATGCCGAGAGTAGTATGTGTGTGAAATGGAATGTTTGTTTATGCTTCAAGGAACAAAATCCAGAAATAAACTTGACTTAGCATGGTGAGAATCAGCTACTTCGATCTTCAAAAAACTTGAGATGCTGAGCATACATTAAATTTTTGTATTCCAATTGTATACTTTTGGTTGTGCATTGTGAATTTGGTAATTGATTTAATTGATAATAAAATAATTATTATTTGAAAAACTCTTATATGTTATAATTACATAATATTCATCAAACTACTTAATATATTTTTAAAAGTGGAATATTTAATGTAATATTTTACAAAAATGTATTACTATAATTATGAGACTATGAATGTTCTGTAAACATTGCCTAAACGAATATGGCAAAAAAGTACGAATAAACAAAAAGTTATGTAATGCTGCGCGAAGAAGCGGCGAATTTTTAACAGAAAAAGTCCTGGTAACAAAAAAGTGGATAAATCGTGGCTAAATTTAGAATCCTCTATCACATAGTGTAACCAGAATCCATGTTTTATGGGTCCTTGATATCAAATAAATCGAATTACGTCAAAAATTCCGTCCATGAACAAAGCTAGCGGCTAAACCGTTCAAACGATTTTCTACAAAATTGATATTCCCCAATCCATGTGGCTGATGTCGCGGTCCTTTGAATTTGAAACCTATATTGCAATTATGGGGTGCAATTTACATGGAGCCCCTGGGAAATTTTACAAATTTTCAAAAAAATGGCTTAATCGTTTTTTATTAAATTTTGTTGTTGAATTGTGTAAAGAACGTTTAAGAGAATGGTGTAGGACCCCATGTTTGTGAAAAACCCTGATTTTTCAAAAACTGCAAAAGTTCAAATATTTCTCGGAGTCTTCCAGCAATTAAAATATTAAAGATAGATATTTTTTCCTTTACTTAAGTTTCTTATGTTTCTTAAAGATAGATTTTGAAATAAGGTCATGTACAATTTTTCGAAAAATGAAAAATACTTTTCGCGGAATTTTACGTGAAAATATGCGGGAGAAAGTAGTGCTTGTTTAGCTTTTTTAGTTCTTAAACGAATTACAGATTCTGAAGAAACTCCTTTACAGTTGATTAAGATTTCAGTTCAATGATAAGTTAACTTCTGTCAAGAACTAACATTATTTCATTATCTGCTTCGTGGGAAATAAGGATAAATATTCCAACATTGATACAAATTCTATAAAACACGATATTTTCTTTAATGTTTTATTGTTCGAATTGTATAAATATCTTTAGGAAATTTATCTACACCTTTATCCTTCATCTACAGCTTTAAATTGTATATAGTATACAATCTTCTAAGTGTTCTTGACCACTTATTCTCACTTCCACCTCCCCTTTAATAATCCAATTTTCTAAATATTGCTCATAAATTCATTGAGTATGTGTACTATTTTATCAACCTAGGTGACAAATTTTGGGCCTGCGCTATAAAAAACTTCTCAAACGTACAGTCCCACTCGTAAAATTCTGTAGGTGTGGGTTTACATAATCCGAACACCTTCAACTCTCCCCTCTCTGTCCACTTCTAGAATTCCGAGAGTTTAACAGGTTCTGCGCGTTCAGACCAAATGTTCTTCGCTGTGAACCGAAGCGAAACGTTCACCTTCCGAAAACGAAAACGCATCTCTTTTTGTCAACTACCAAGTTGAAGAAATTTCCAAGCAACCTTCTAAACTTTCCGATTATCTCACAATAGAATGTGGCGCTTTTGCCCCTCTTTCGGATGCATGGAGAAAGAGAAAGAAGCAACTTCGCCAATCGATGCCTCGACGACATCGCTCTTCCATCGCTTCGTCCACCCAGTTGCGAACTCTTCCCCAAATAAGCTGCTAAGTCCTCTTATGTACTCTGCTGCAAAGTAGACATATTTTGTTTCCTAAGCTGTTTCTTCTAATTCCCTCGGAGCGGCGACAAGCAAAACCTTCTTCCTTAATGGTCCGTGAAGTGGAAGCGGATGCTTTGTGGGTGGTGACTTCGCAAGCGCCGCAGATACCGTCGCCATCCTCGTGATCACCACCGTCACCACACTACCACCGTCACCGAAGTCGACCACAAACGTTGCCCCGCGCTATCGCGAGCTTAATAGATAACAACAGTCTCCAGCGTAATTTTTACACAAGACATTGCATTTCCTTGGACGTTACTGCGATCTACTACGCTTTATCGGTAGCTTGGCGACATTCTGATAGAACCTCAGGAGGATTTTGGCTTCAGGGGAAAGGTGACCTATTTTGAGATTTC